CCAGCAATGAACAACTGGAAATCAAAAATTTTAAAATACCATTAATAGCACCAAAACCAAAGAAATAAGTACATATAAAGCTAACAAAATATGTGCGTGATCTGTATGCTATGCAAAAAATTACAAAATACTGATGAAAAAGAAATCAAAGAAGACCTAAATAAATAGAGAGGTATGCCACATTAATGGTTTAGAAGACTTGTTGTTAAGATGTCTATTTTCTCCATATTGATCTATAATTTCAATCCATCAAAATCCCAGCATATTTTTTTAGACACAACAATCTGATTCTAAAACATATATGAAAAATGAAAGAAATCAGAATAGCCAAAACAATCCTGAAAAAGAAGAATGAAGTTTGGAAGACTTGCCCTACCTGATTTCCACACTTACTATGAAGCTATAAGGTACTAAACTATACATATATATATACACACACACACACACACACACACATATATATATGTATATATACATACACACACAATAGATACTATATATACATATATATAGATGTATCTTGTATATAGTACTTTATAGTTTTATAGTAGGTACTACAGTACTATAGCATATATATACTATATAGCTATAAAATATTATAAATAAGACCACATGGTATTGAAATCAAGATGGACACACAGAAGTCAATAGAACAGAGTCCAGAAATAGATCCACATAAATATGGTTGATTGACTTTTGACAATGTACCCATACAATGGCAATTTAATGGAAAAAGGATAGTCTTTTCAACAAATCATCCTGGAAAACTTGAAGTCATATGCAAAAAATGAACTTTGATCTACTCACACCTGTACAAATACTGACTCAAAATGGGTGACAGACCTAAAAGTAAAATGCAGAAGAGATCACAGGAGAAAAATGTTGTGACCCTAATTTAGGCAAAGAATTCTTAGATACGACACCAAATGCACAATCAATTTTTTAAAAATTAACAAATTGGACTTAAGCAAAATAAAAAACTTTTGCTCTGCCAAAGACAATAAGAGAATGAAAAGACAATTACAGACTGCAAAAATATATTTGCAAGTTATATATCTGACAAGGGATGTCCTTCAATTGGTGAATGGATAAACAAATTGTGATACATCCATACAATAGAATGCTACTCAGCAATAAAAAAGAATAAACTATTGATACATGAAACAAAATAGATGACTCTAAAATGCACTACCTGAATGAAAGAAGCCAGATTCAAGTGGCTATATACACTGTATACTTCCATTCATACAATATTCTAGAAAAGGCAGAACCATAGGGAAAGAGAACAGATCAGTGTTGCCAGGGTTTAAAAACTGAAGAGGGTGTGACTGCAGTGGGACAGAAAAAGGAAGTTTTTTGAAGTGAAAGAACTGTAATGTATCTTGATTGTGGCAGTAGTTACACAACTCTATGCATTTGTCAAAAATCACAGAACTGTACATCAAAAAGAGAAAATTTTACTGTATATTAAATAATTTTCAAAAATAGGCTAAAGTAATTTTTTTAAAAGGAAAAGGCAGACTTCCCTGGTGGCACACTGGTTGAGAATCCGCCTGCCAGTGCAGGGGACACGGGTTCAAGCTCTGGTCCAGGAAGATCCCACATGCGCCGGAGAAACTAAGCCCGTGCACTACAACTACTGAGCCTACACTATAGAGCCCGCGAGCCACAACTACTGAGCCCACACACTTAGAGCCCATGCTCTGCAACAAGAGAAGCCACCGCAACGAGAAGTCCGTGCACCACAACGAAGAGTAGCCCCCGCTCGCTGCAACTAGAGAAAGCCTACACACGGCAACGAAGACCCAACGCAGCCAAAAATAAAATAAATTTTTAAAAAAATTAAAAGGAAAAGGCAATTTGGAAGATCTAAAAATAATAACGATAGGACAGATTAAAAACCAGGTCTCTGGAACATGGCCAGGTCATAAAAAGGATCACTCATTTGGGGATGGGTTTCAAAGACAAGGCAGAAATCTAGTTATTCAAACTATTAAGTAATGTTAGGAAGGTGAAAACGCTAAGCTGCATATGGAGTATGCCTTTGGTCCTGATTTGCCTTAGAGTGAGACAATTCTAACCGTATAAGACGATTCCACATCACAAACGAGGACAAAGCAGAGGTTCAGAGGGGTTCAGAGGCTGGCAATCAGGCTGGGTTTTAGCTTTTATTTATACTAGTACCTCTAAATCAAGGGTTCTTAACATAGAATACCTAGATAGAATTCCAGCAGTCTGTGAAAGTGGACAGAACGAAAATTCATCTTTAATTTCACTAACCTCTAACTGAAATGTAGTATATTTCCTTAGGCTATGAATGCATGCAACTAACTGTGGTAGTTTAAATAGGACCTGTATATTTATCACTCATAGAAATCACAGGTTTTTCCTATAACATCATACTACCATGAGTCCCCTGCTATCTTATTTTGCATGCATTAATAAATATTTATAAATCACACATTTGAGGGGTTTCAGTATTTGAATAACTATGTAATTGGTTTCCTGAATAATCCAATGTATTTGAAAACACATTTAAGATACATTAAACCTTTCCAAACACAAATAAAACATTATTCTAAGAAAGGGTTCATAGGCTTCCCCAGACTATCAAAGGGGTCTATGATAAATAAAAGGTTAAAAATCCCTGCTCCAAATCATCCTGCCCCCATTTTACAAAGCACCCCTTTTTTCAGGGCCTCTAATACTCTTCATACATGCATGAAGGGTCCCTCTCTCCAATTATATAATATTTTAAACCCTCGACAGGGAAATGCACAGTTTTTTAAGCAGTAGTCAAATTTTTTATGCCCACTGGACAGTAGAGTCCATAAAAAATTAAATCATATAAATACAAGAAAGACCTTATACGTAATAATACACAGTTGAATGAAGTGTACTTTCTGAAACTACAGACTGAAATAACCTAAAAAAGTCAATCTGGGCTTCCCTGGTGGCGCAGTGGTTGAGAGTCCGCCTGTCGATGCAGGGGACACGGGTTCGTGCCCCGGTCTGGGAAGATCCCACATGCCGCGGAGTAGCTGGGCCCGTGAGCCATGGCCGCTGAGCCTGCGCGTCCGGAGCCTGTGCTCCGCAACGGGAGAGGCCACAACAGTGAGAGGCACGCGAACCGAAACCCCAAAAAAAAAAAAAAAAAAAAAAAAAAAAAAAAAAAAAAAAAGTCAATCTACCTTATGTCTCAAATAAGAAGGAATTTAATGAAAGCATCTGAAATATGATCTTCTTACTAAGAATTCATGGAGAAGGGTAGGAAGTTTACTTTTGTTTTCTAAATCCTACACTGTGTGCACATTGCAATGTCTTGTTTACTCATTTAAAACAGAATCTCAAAACCTCAAAAAAATAAAAATAACTAGGTCACAAAGGTTTCTACAGTAATAAAACTCTGATTCCTTGGGTTAAATAACAGCAAATGGCCAACCAAGTAAGATATAGCAGTCACTTAAACAATGGAAATGCCCAAACAGTAGGAGGGAGTGAGAGGCTCTAAACTGTAAGAGCTACAAATTCAACTGTGGATGCAGGTACAACTGTATTTTTTTTTCCTTTTAATCTATGGTAGGAAGATGATCTGGTGAGAACTATGGGGGGGGAAAAAAGAAATATTCTTGGAATATAAAAAAGTAAATATTACAATAGTAATTTTATTATGAAGGCAATATCTTCCTATTAATAAAATGCACTAGTCAAATATTTTTCCAGTAGAAATATACATCTTATTATGTAAAACAAAAAAGGACAAATAAAATTTGCTCTTCCATATTTCCTATCATTTGATGACAAAATGAAATGTAGCCACACAAAACTATACATTCAATTTCAATGTAATGGTATTTCATTTTTATACATTTAATTACCACAATTTTTTAAAGTGTTTTAACAAAAATATAACACATTCAATCTATACTAATTTGCCTTATCTCTACCCACATCTTGGAAATTTTTTATTATAAGCGGTCAAAATTATTACACTTTAGATCAGTTTTTCAGGTTACAGGATTACTATGTACTCATCACAGGAAACTTGTAAAATAACAAAAAAAATTTCTTTGAATAAAAAAAGAAAACAGAATTCCCCATAATTTCACCAAATAAAAATAAGCACTATTACCATTTTATTTCTTCTATGGGTACTATCTTACATTTCAGTAATAATGCTATTAATCAACATATATTAGACTCTTGCTCTGAACTATTCAACTAAAAGCTTTACAAACACTATTTTATTTTATCCTTACAACAGTCCTATTCAAGTAGGGAGGTAAATATTGCCATTTTACAAATATGTCAACTACAGTTTAAAGAGGTTAGGAAGGGACTTTCCTGGTGGCGCAGTGGTTAAGAATCCACCTGCCAATGCAGGGGACATGGGTCCGAGCCCTGGTCCGGGAAGATCCCGCATGCCACAGAGCAACTAAGCCCGTGCGCCACAACTACTGAGCCTGCGCTCTAGAGCCCGTGCGCCACAACTACTGAAGCCTGCACGCTTCAGATGCTGGCTAGAGCCCATGCTCTGCAACAAGAGAAAGCCACCACAATGAGAAGCCCGAGCTTCACAACAAAGAGTAGCCCCAGCTCACCACGACTAGAGAAAGCCTGCACACAGCCACAAAGACCCAATGCAGCAATAAATAAACAAACAAACAAATAAATAAACAGGTTAGGAAACATGCCTAGAAGGTCAGAGATAAGTGGCAGACCTGAACCCAAATTTTCAATTACCACCATGAATGTATACATAGAGAACGCTATATTCTACCCTAACGTAATGTCCTATGTCATAAAAATTATAATTTTCAGATTGCTATTTAATATAACAGCATGTGGACGTAACTTAATCACTCCTCTATTGGATCAAGTTATTTCTGTATAGTATTCAGAATAGTGTGACGCATTCAATACAAAAATAAAAACTAGGTAAATGCAAGATTTGGCTTGTCAACTTCTATATTTAAATTAAAATATATAATTCAACTTACTCTTTTACTGAGGCAAATAACTGGCCACATACTGCAGCCTAGTGTGCAGCAGCAACAAAGGCAGCCACAAAGTAGCCAACGTACATTAACAGGAAGGTTCTTCTTAAGACAACTGTTAACTCTGTTGATGCTGGCTTTAAATTCTTCAGGAGCTACCTAAAGAAAAATTTTAAGAAATAACAACACTGCAGTATTAACGTCAATAAACATGTCTCATTAGCATAAATTTTTCTAATTTGTTAGGAAAAGACTTTAGTTTTTAGGCATATAAATAATACCTAAATAATTGACACTCACTTTTCCAGTTAATGAAGATGGGAATTCTGATTCAAATTTGTTGCTCAGTCCAAATCTATTTTTTAGAAAAAGAAAAATATGTTATTACATGTCATTGTTGCAACAAATACACCATTTAACTTAATCAAATGTCAAGTAAATAGAGTGCAACTTTATACACAGAATAACAATGGAAGTTTGAGACACACTGTCATCAGCAATTTATGAAATGTAACAAGCAATTTTAGCAGCTGAATCAAAACTTTTATACAAGAGGCTGAGAATATACAAAGACATGACTTCTTTGGAGCTATCTTTGTGAGCCAAATAGTACTGTGGAAAACAACACAACTGTCCAATTCTGTCAAAATTACTAAGATTCTTCCAATTAAGTAACAGGAAGCTAAAATCTCTGCTATTAATTACTCTTTAGGTCAAGAGCATTTTGTTAACTCTCAAAAAGGGGATAACATGTCTAAGAACGCAAATCACATTTTCTGAGATCAGCATATCTACACTGCTATTACAGCTACAGAATGTCAAAAACACCTGGAACAAAACAGCTACTTCAAATTTCAAATACCAAGACATTTGCTACACATACCCCCAAAGAAATGAAACCAAGGTAGTGCATTTTAACATCTTTAAGCTTTTAAATGTCTTTAAAGATCATGAGGATTGACTGGGCACTTGACTATTTCTTTGCATAAGTTAGTGGGAAAGAATAAAACATTCATAGACAACATTGGTAATAGGAGACAGCACCCTGGAAATAAAATTGAGATGCTTACATATGATGACTTTTAGTGGACCCTGGAGCCAAATTTTCTTTCTGGTTTTATTGAGATATACTTGACATTTAACACTGCATTAATTTAAGGTGTACAACCTAATGATCTGATACATGCATGCATTGTGAAATGATTACCACAGTAAGTTTAGTTCACATCCATCACCTCACTGTTACATTTTTTTTTTCCTGTGAAGAAAATGCTTAAAATTCACTCTCTTAGCAACACTTGAATACACAATACTGCATCTTGGGTAGCTGGCAAGGGATCCCCTAAGATACTCTGTATGAAACAGCTGGCCAGGTCAAGGGTTTCTAACTCAACCATCAGTGGAGCTAGAGAGAGAAATCAAATAAGGTAGGCTGTGTGCAGTCAATAAGGAGTGGTGGAGACCAGCCAAGCAGAGGTATACAATTTGTGTGTGTGTGAATGTAATGAGTCAGATCCAGCTGATTACTGTCACACTAGAATGGACACCCACCTTTGACAGGTTGTATTTTTCTTCTTCTGAGATGGAAAACCAGATTTCTCTGCAAAATTTCCCTTTATAATATTGTGCAAGTCAATCACAACACTTCTGTGGGTCAGGTTGTCGTTTGCATCATGATCTAGACTTCCTTACAACATGTAGATGGTGGCACCTGAGACCATTTTGTCATCATCTTAAAGTACTTTCAAAAATTACTTAATAGCAGCATTGAAATAACATCAATATGTCTTTATAAACAATGAATACTATTTATGAAAAAAGTTTTGACACTAAACGTAAATTGGCAACCATTACTGTTTAATATAATTCTGGCATTGGTGATATTCTCTTTCTAAGACGCTGAGCTAAACCCGTTTTTTCTGTGGGGGCCTCAGAGCAATGTGGTTCTACTTGAAAATGCCCCTACAGATAACTCACCTACAACTGTAAAGGCCCTAGCATGAGGAAGAGGTATGCAGTACTCGCTGACAGTTCTATGATGTCTCTAGATAATGGACTCCCTTTTCATCTATTTGCCTTAGAGGAGATACCATTCAACAAATCTTTATAGAATACTGGACCTTCTAGATTATACACTTCCATCTCTTGTGTTATCTCCCTTGGTCTGAAGATCTTCTTCTTCAAGCAACAGGTTTCACTTCAACCATGTTTATTATTGCAATTAACCATCTCCTTCCAATTGGTCCTCAAATTTTTTTAGAAAAGCAACAACCAGATACCTCCAAGTCTCCTAGAGATAAGTATCTTCCCCTTCCACCTTCAGCCATTAAATATTTGGAACAGATTATTTTATCAAATACCTATAGTTTGCCAGTAATATGCTAATTTAGAGGGAGCAATCCAGTATGAGTATAAACCTTAATTTCCTTTCTTTTCCAAGCCTGGATACTTCCTTATAATAAGGCTGAGTGTTGATGCTTTGCCCAGGGAGCACTACCAGCTAATTGCCCTGCTGTTCCTGCAAGCCAGGGCTCCTTGTAAGTCAGGCTAGTAGTTATTCTTCTGAGTAAGAACTAGCAGTTCCAAGGACATTCTTTAGGCACTCTCCTCTTCAGTCATAATTTTGTTGTGTCTTAACAACAGACAGTAATCCCTTCTCTTTCTTCATCTCACCCCCAAAAGAATGACATGGTTCACAATAGATGGGAGAGCTTAGCTTTGCCACCAGCCTTCCCTTCTTCCCTCCTTTCTCCCTTCCTTTATTTATGGCTGCGTTGGGTCTTCGGTGCTGTGCGGGGGCTTTCTTTAGTTGCGGCGAGCGGGGGCTACTCTTTGTTGCGGTGCGAGGGTGTCTCACTGCGGTGGCTTCTCTTGTTGTGGAGCATGGGCTCTAGCTGTGCGGGCTTCAGTACTTGTGGCTCGCGGGCTCTAGAGCACAGCCTCAGTAGTTGTGGCGCACGGGCTCATCTGCTCCACGGCACGTGGGCTCTTCCCAGACCAGGGCTCAAACCTGTGTCCCCTGCATTGGCAGGTGGATTCTTAACCACTGCGCCACCAAGGAAGCCCCATTTCCCCTCACTTTTCTTTCCCACCTGCTCAACAAGACTACCTGTAAAGAGGGGCAAGAAGATGCTGCTGTTGAAGGCCTTGGAGTCTCCCCAGCCCACAGGAGTAAACCCCAACTGCAATCTGCTTTCACTTTAAAAATGTTTAAAGACATTTAATATTCAAATCAAGTACTTCATGATTACAGGCAGATTGAGCCATGATACCCAGGCACCCTTTCCTCATTTCCATTTGGAATATAGTACTCTACTATATTCAAACATTTGGGTGAACAAGGGGTGTTCAAACATTTGGTGTCAGGACTTCTTTGGTCTCTTAAATCCTTGAGGACCTCAGTGAGCTTAAGCTTATGTGATTTAGATTTATCACTATTTCGGATTATACATTAGAACAGAGACATCTAAAACATTTAAAATTTTTATTCATAAATGAGCCCAAAATGCTCATTTTTACGCTAACAAAAATGTTTTTATGAGAAATATTTTTCAAAACAAAAAACTTTAGTGAGATTTTCTCACATCTCTTTAATGTCAGACAATGGAAGACAGCTGAATTCTCACATCTCTTTCTGCATTCAATCTGTAGTGATATGCTCTTTTGGTTAATGTTTATAAAGAAAATTGAGTTTCACCAGATATGTAGTTGGAAAATTGTATATATTCTTTGATACTATAACAAAACTTCATAAGTGCTACCTTATTAAGGATTTCTTGTAAGGAGGAAACAAGCTTTATCAATGAACTTTGAATACTCTGTTCAATTAAAATCCACTGTATATCTTGAATTTTAAATGGATTTTTTTTTCTTATCCATACCTGATTTTATAACTTCATATATTTGTCCCTTGGAAAATACTGGTAGATTGAGCTATGCAGATTTCCAAACGTTGACACACTTCATCGTGTGATGTCAGAATCATCACATTCATTAATATGACCACTGATCTCATCGTAAGTATTGAGAAGCTGTCAAGCTCACAGAGGCAGATGTAAGTTTTCCCAAATTCCAATTTTCATCTGAAAGCTGGAATTATTGACAACAAATGCTATCAGTTGTTTTACTTGAAGTGATAGTCTTGCTTTACTTAAAAAAAAAAAAATAAGAGGCTGAATGATAACTAACCAACAAAACCAAAAAAATGGTTAATTTGAGCTACCACCTATACCTTAAAACTAACTTCAAAGCATATTATTTTAATATATAGAATGGATAAACAACAAGGTCCTACTGTATAGCAAAGGGAATTATATTCAATATCCTGTGATAAACCATAATGGAAAAAATATGAAAAAGAATGTATATATATGTATAACTGAATCTCTTTGCTGTATAGCAGAAATTAACAAAACATTGTAAATCAACTATACTTCAATAAAATAAAATTTAAAAAAAATAGATGACTTTTTTTCCTAGCTTTGAATGTTACTAATGGAGATAGGCAATGGCTGTGGATTTTAATAGGTGTCCTTGGTATGCATAAGCAATAAAAGCAGGAGAAGGAAAAATACAGGGAAAAGTTGGAAGGGGAAGTAGAAGGAAAGAGGGAGAGAAGAAATGAAGAAGAAAGTGAGGGTTGGCAAAGTGCTACCAACAACTGTCTTATCTACCATTCAATACCTATTAACTGTCAGTACATTAGATGCCTGAAAAATGTAGACATGTACTACATCTACATCTATTCCTATGAAAGACCTTGTCCTTAATCACTCTTAAAATACGGCTTTAGAAGTAATAAACGATTTAAACTATTTTCAAAGAATGACATATATGACAAGAAGATAAAACACATTAAACAACCTATTTTACCTATTACAAGTCTACTAGTACTTGGAGAAAAAGAGAAATTCATTCAAATCAAACTATTGAGCACCTTCTATGTAACATTTCATGATCACAAAGTCCTACAACAGAAGGCTTATATAGCTTTAAAAAAATTTTTTTAAGAAAGAAAGCATGGGACTTCCCTGGCAGTCCAGTGGTTAAGACTCCGCGCTCCCAATGCAGGGGGCACGGGTTCAATCCCTGGTCAGGGAATTAGGATCCCACATGCCGCACAGTGCGGCAAAAAAAAAAAACAAGAAAAAGAAAGGAAGCAAGCAGGTAAGAGGCCAATTTTTACTTTTTTTTTTTTTTTTTTTTTTTGCGAGATCTTATTTTGCCGACCGGGGACTGAACATGGGCCCTCAGCAGTGAAAGTGCAGAGTGCTAACCACTGGGCCGCCAGGGAACTCCCCCAATTTTTACTTTTATATAAATTGAGGTAATTTTCAAAGCTCTTACACTGGTAAA